TAATTTTCCTGGCCTTTAGTGCCGCCCCGGCGCTTCCCTCTTTCACTCCCTCTTTCTTCTCCCTCCCTCCATTCCCTCGCCCCCTCCCCTCCCCCACCCCACTCCGCTGCCTGCTTTGCTCGCCTCCTGCCCGGCCCTGCTCGCCCACTGCCTCGCCCCGGACTTCTCCAGGCGAGCGCCTCTGCCCCAACCAAGGCCCCCAAGGTTGGGAGAGCCAGGCGTCCAAACGGCCCAGTGAGTTGGTGCGCGCGTGGAAATTCCGGTTTGTTTTTTTTGTTTGTTCAGTCCTTGCTGGATGGGATGTTAGGAGGGAGGCTAGGCTAGGGATGTGAGGAGACGYTTGCTCCATAAGGGTGAGGGAGGTCGAAGAAAGGCCTGGAAGTGCACCCTGTTCTTCTTTTGCCGCCTGAGGCAGTGGGGAGGTGGAAGTAGGGGCCTGAGTGAGGTAAAGGCAAGGGGAGGGGGGCAGGGTTTGCGCCGGAGCTGGAGCAACCCCCCCCCCCGCCCTTCGCGCGCGTGTCCTCCTCTCGTCCTCTCCAAACTAGGGCTCCTCCCGTCTCGGCTCGTGGACTCCCTTCCGGGGGAGATGAGTTAGGGGGACCCCTACCCCTGTCCCGGAGGAGTTTGAGGCGCTTGGTTGCCGGGGCGGGCGGCTGTGGAGTGGGGAAGGGGGGGGGAGTGGATTCGGTCCTGGGTGGGAAGAGGAAGAGCTCTGCTGCTCCCAGGGCTGTCGCCGAGCCTCCAAAGAGAGGACCAGGGCCGGCTTCCGCCCGAAGTCGTCAGAAGTTAAAGGTAAGCAGGCCACAAAGACGCTGCTATCAGGGGTGAATGGCGGAGTTTATGTCCTGGTGATTTATGACCAGAGACTTCGCTCTCGGTTCAGGAAGAGTTCACCAGGCTTGGAGCTTCCTTCCAGGCAGTGACGGATAGACCCTGGCGCACTTTGGAGTTCAGGCCGATGGCCCCTCTCTCTCCCCCTTCAACTTATTTTGAAAACTGGCAGAAGGACATTTCGGGGGGGGGGGGCAATTCTAGAGCTGATCGAGAAGGCGGGAGGGATGCAGGGAGTGTGGGGGACCCACCAAGCAAAGGGTGGGGTTAATCAAAAGCCAAGAAAGAGAGAAAGAACCTTAAGGGTCCAAATTTTCCGTTTGGAGGCACTTTTAGGCCTATTCATGAGGATAAAGTGGTTCACCTCCAAATATGCTACCTTCTGAGGATGACGGGTCCACCAGTGGAAGGGAAGCAGGCTTTATTTATTTTGGGGTGAAGCTTGAAAGAAAAATTGGGATCATTCTCTAGCCAAGGGAAAACTTCCCAGTACTGCTTATGACTTAGGAAAGTTATCTTAGAGGTAAGATACTCAAGTACTTGGGTATTATTGAAGCCCCAACATTTTTGTTTACAAAGGCCAGTCTAGTGTTGTTCACAGCAGACTTTCCCGAACTCAGGTTAAGGGCTCCTTCTGCATGTTTTCCCCTTCACCCCATTCCCCAAGATATTGTAGCCTGCTTCCCAATTCAAGAGGCATAGGGTTGTGCTGGAAGGAGGCTGCAGTCTTCCTGAACAGCAAGTGGCCCCACACTCAGTGGGACTGATTTGGGCATAAACATGGACAGGATCGAGCCTAGGATTAAAGCTCACCTATCCCATAATAAAGATCCACAGTTACCAAGAGATCAGGTTGGCAGACGAACTTTGCTGGGGTAGTTTCTGAAGGGATCAACCCATTAGTCAGTTTCAGTTTAAAGGGGGGGGGGGGTGTCTTGTGAAACCTTTTGTAGCTCGAGCTTTTGTTGATGTCACCTTCTTGAAACAAATACAGCGTCCAGACATAATGGTTTGCTGGGGCCTAATTATGTTTTTGCCTCCTTACACTTGCTTTTTGTTATCTTATCAGTTGTTTTACCTCTAATGGGCAAACTGCTAGCAGCAAGGATTTTAACCTCTGGATTTGTAGTTCCTTAAAACGTTTGTTCCAATTCGGGTTTTGCCCCTGGCTTCCATAGGAGCTGCTGTGCATACTTACATGTATTGTTTGCTAATGGCTTTACTCTTGCTTTGACTTCCCTGTTGTTAGTAGTGGAAACTGAGTTACTTCTCCTCATCCCAAACTCTCTTTGGCATTCTTCCTCTATCTGAATGAGTTCTCTTTCTCCCAAGCAAAAGGGAGGAAAATCTATAACAGCAGGGGGTACATACTGGTCTTTGTGTTTTTGTATGTATACCCCTTCCCCCCTCCCCCAAACCCCCTGTGTTAATAGCTGCGGATTTGTAGTTGTTGATTTTTGGAGATATAGTTATATTGGTCTGTTTTATCCTAAAAGGAAAGGTAAACAAAAGAAAAGGGAGGTAGGGGCAGAATAGAAGAAAACCTTTGGAAGCAATTGATTTATTGTACTGTTGAAGGCTTTCATGGCCAGAATCACTGGTGGTTGTGTGTTTTCTGGGCTGTATGGCCATGTTCCAAAAGTGTTATCTCCTGACGTTTCGCCTGCATCTATGGCAAGTATCCTCAGAGGTTGGAAGTCTGTTGGAAACTAGGAAAATGGGGTGGACATTCCACATATATAAACCCAATTTTCCTAGTTTCCAACAGACCTCACAAACTCTAAGGATGCCTGCCATAGATGCAGGCGAAACGTCAGGAGAGAATGCTTCTGGAACATGGCCATACAGCCTGGAAAACACACAACAACCCAATTGATTTATTGCAGCTTATAAATGCTTTCTGATTTTAACACGCTAGGTGTTACTAGACTCTTCCCAAGCCTCTTTTAAAACTGTATTCTTTCCTTTTTATACTTCCTGCTTTCTACTTGAGGAATCCTAACAATTTCCCTCCCACCCATCTCCAAAGAAGCCAAAAAAATAATAATAGATCAGCCAGGAAACTGATTCCAAAAGTGAGGGACACAATCCAGTGCAAAGTGAAGGATTTGTGTTGAAGTTGATTTGCTCCCAAACCAAGCGGCCTTCTATCTAGGCTTCCTCTAACTCGCAAGATCGCCTTTCTTTTCCAATCTTGACGTAATAAATACCAAAGGCTTGATTGCCATGAAAAAAAAAGAATCTTGAAAAAAATCAAAAGGCATCTGCCATCTGTAAGCAAGTTATGAAATTAATGTGTCTCTATAACGCGCCTTGTTTTCCAGGAAAGCGGTGTGAATTGAAATGCAAACACATGCAATTAATTTGAGAGTGCCTATGATACTGTGCAATGCTCCCCTCCAGCAATGAACACTGACAGACAACTGTTTTGGCCCAGAATTGTGGGAAAGATGGGGCTCTGGAAGTGAAGGTGTGGAAAGAGAGAGGTTTTAATTTGGGTGGTTTTGCGGGCCTTGTAAAAAGTTCTTAGATTGCAGATAAGATGGCAGTGATTGTGAATGGAAGCTTCGTCTCTGGTCAGACAGGTAAACACACTGCCGAGGGAGCAGGGAAAGAGTCGCCTGGATTGCTGGAGCTCTCTGCGGTTTTGTGTGTCCATTCCCCTCTCTGCAGCCAAATGACCCCCATACATCAAATTACATAGCAGTTCCAAAGACAGAACCTATTATCCTTAAGTTGGTAGGAAAGTTCAAGCCGTGGTCATGGAGATGAACGCTGACTTTTTCCCCTCAGGTTCCTGGTGTGTGTATCTTTCCCTCAATCCATCATGTTTGAACAGGTAGAATTTGGGTATATTACATGAAGCAGGAGGCAGAGCGGGGGAGGGGTGGGAAGAGCAGAACTTTGGAAAGTCCTCTATTTAAAAAAAAAACTCATCCATGTTTGATACTTTGGATTAGTTATGAAGATTTCCCACAGATGACAATCAGGCGAAAAGAAACTTTCTCCAAAGGAGGATTAGTTGGGAGATCCGCTTCAGATTGTTATGTTTGGCTACATCTTGCTTGAACCCAGAGGCCAGATTTGTGTCTCGGTCTAATGTCACAGTAGTTAAATCTAATTTATGCACAGGAACTTGGCAGGCTATTAAACACCAAAGGATCCGGCTATCCACAGTCTAGGCATTTCTCAAAACTTTTCGTGAGTTCGAATTCTTGCATTGTAAGAAAGCTCGAGTCCTTATGGAGGTGTTTGAATGTATATACTGTCTTGAAAAATAGTAATATATTATTCAACTTTGGCATGATGCCCGTATTTTTTTAAGTAAAGGAATAAAAATGAATTCTAAAATGCAAGGGGAAAGTTCAGTGTATTGTTGAAGGCTTTCATGGCAGGAATCACTAGGTTGCTGTGAGTTTTCCGGGCTGTATGACCATGTTCCAGAAGCATTTTCTCCTGACGTTTCGTCTGCATCTATGGCAGGTATCCTCAGAGGTTGTGAGGTCACACCAGATGCGACTTGAAGTTTCTCAAGTCCCTCCTGACACAGAAAAAAAACAGCCCAGAAAACTCACAGCAACCCAGAAATTCCTTTCAGGCTTGGGAGTCTGGAGAGAAAAACAATCCTTTTCTGCTGGAGGATACATACACACACACACACACACACACACACATATATACATATACACACTTTGAGTCCTCCTAGGGGTGAGAAAGGCGGTATATAAATACTCTCTCTCTCTCCCCCTATATATATATATATATCCTATGCACGCACACACACACACACACATACACACACACATACAGACACACACATACACAAGGATTGTTTAATTGCTCTTATCTCGTGGCCCTCCGTGTAATTCACCCACAGAGGTCCCCTTTGTTCGAAACTCTGAACCCCTTTCCTCACTCCTAAATCTCCGCCTCAATCCCAGAAACCCACATTCTCCCCCAGCAGAAATCTCCACGGTTCTGGCTGCCAGTAATTCCGAGCAGATTTCCCCTTGGCTCCCCAATCGAAATGCTCTTCGCCTCCGGGCCAAGTCATGCTGCTAAATATTGCTGACCACTTTTTCTGTTATGGCTTTCATGTCACTTAGCTATTGGAAGTAAGATGGATTTGTACCATTTCTTCACTCTCCCCTGCTTTCCCTGCACCCTAGGTCTACCAGGAGGGGCCATTGGCGAAGGAACGTCACGTGACAGAGGGGTGCCAATGTTATTCTTTAAGGGTGTCAAGACCCTGTCAGTTTGTGAAATAAATATTGGGAAACAACAGAAATGCAAAAAGCGACCTATTACGACAGTTCTGCGATCTATGGCGGCTATCCCTACCAAGGAACAAATGGTTTCGCTTACAATGCGAGTCAGCAGCAATATCCTCCGCTGCCTCCTTCTTCCTCGCTGGTGGAAACGGAATACCATCGACCGGCCTGCTCTTTGCAGTCCCCCGGCGGCAGCGGCGGAGGGGGGGTCGGTGGGGGCGCCCTGCCCCACCACAAGGCCACTGACATCAATGAGAGTTGCATGAGGACCCTCACCAGCCAGACCCTCCCGCCCCAGGTCCTTCCAGAGCAACCTCAGCAGCAGCAGCCCCCGCCTCCAAGCCAACAAGGCCCCCAACAACCAGCACCCCCTCCACCGCCCTCCTCGGTGTCGCCACCTCCCAACGCCCCCAACGCCACCTCCGCCCCGGCCAACGCCACCAAGGGCGCCATCTTGAACTCGCCCACCATGTCCAAACAGATATTCCCCTGGATGAAAGAGTCTCGGCAAAACACCAAGCAGAAACACAGCGGGTCCAGCTCAGGTATGGAACACGTGTGGAGAGAAGGTTAACATGCACTGTACTTACCTCCCTTCGCTATCCTTGGTCGTTGGGAAGTTCTGGAGACTTCTAACTCACTTTGATTGAGTCTGGAGGAAGAGGTGTAACATCCCACCCCATCTATTCCAGTTCTAAATTGAATCCAGACACCATCTCTTGAGATCCTAAGGGCTACCTTCCCACACCCTTACACCCCCTCCTGCATGGAGTGGAATGATGAGACAGGCCCCAGTTTGCTTTAGGTGGCCTCTTTTGAGGCCTCCTATACAAGAATGTGAAATTGTCCAGTTTCCAGACCCTTCCTTTGCAGACTCAGAGATGTCTGTTTCAATCATCTTTGACATAACATAGGCAACCTACAGGCTCTCCCACCCAGTACCACTTCTGTTAAACCAGGCCCAGTTACAAGGGCCCCTAGGCCTTGGTTTCAACCCCTGGCTAGGCCTGTGATCTTCCCTTCCCCCTTACTACTATTCTAGTCATAAGGCAGTGACCTATCTCTGCCGAAAGTGTAACGAGAATAAAATAGCTCATCATCACCTGCAGTCAGGATCAATGCTTTGCTTGATATTCATAACCTCTTTTGATTTTAGCGCACAAGACTGGCAGCCTTACCAGAGTGGTATGGTAAACAAAGCTTAGGTTTCTTGTAGCACTGTGCAGGCAGGTCTATAAATACATTATGGGTGGATTATCGTGTTTATCAACAGCGCTATTATATAAGTAAACCCAAATCAATGAGAAAAGTATTAGCTCCACTCTCCCCAGGCATTTGGCATCTAATGTCCCACTTGCTTCTTCAATTTATCTTGTGCTCTGAAAATGGATTCTAAAATTTTTGCAAATGTTTTCTTCAATGCATTTTATAAAACTGTTACAGTAGAAAACCAACACTGACAGGCTTTGTTATACACAGGGAGGGAGACACCTAAAACTGTGGCCTACATCCAGTTGTTACTGCCAGCTAGAGTAGACCCACTGAATCAATGGGAACTTGGCAGGTGAACATTTACATAAACTCCCACTGAGAATTTTGATGGATCTGTTCCAATTGGATAAAATGAATTTGGCCTGTGTGCTTATCTATGTGTATATTATATGTGTTTAGAGCAATTCAAATAAGATGGCAACCTAATCAGAAACAGGTCTACCTGTAAGTAAACCTTTCTTAGTGTGAAGGTAAATATGCTTAGTGCTTCAGTCTTATCTGGTTGGAAGTCGAGCCCCATAGAACTGAACAGAATTGGAGTGCATAGCTTGATGTTAAACCTGGAAGCACATTCCAAGATCTCAAAAGAATGTACATATAATTTTGACGGCCTTTGGCTATATATTACTGACTTTTGTGTCTCTGCAGCAATGTTTAAGAACTATAAACCCGTACCAAAAGGTCAGAGTAATATCTGGTAATTATCCAAGCCCATGTTGTGGAGGCAATTATAATAAATTGAATAACTGGCCATTTGTACCCAAAAGCACCAATTGAGACAGGACATTGCCTTATGCAAGAAGAGGTCATGTGTGCCTGCTTATTCCCTTCATCCATGGCCCCAAATGGCTTTAAGCCAAGTAAGTCTTCACCAGTTTGTGTTGGCAGGCAAGATGGTATCTATTTGGAGAAGGAAGTGGAGGGACTGTGGTTGCATGGTGGTGGTGGTTGTGTTCTGATTTTCATTGTCTTGTGTTCCTAATAGCTGCTATATTTAACGAAACATATATTTTGAAGTCCTCAGGACTACTTTGAATGTCAGTGCTATCATCCTGGGCCCATCAAAGATAATGAGACTTTTGCAGTTCATTCTAAAGGAATCAGCTTCTCCTTACCCTTAAGCTCATAGTGAAGCAACATTCAGCCCACAATTCCTATCACACTTTCTTTCAATTACTTGGTAATAATCCAATTCAAGTAACAAGAAACTTTGGTTTGATGGTTTGGGGGCTGACATCATGTAACTTTTATTCAGTTCTATCTCTCTGTCCTCATCTGCCATTGTGTTTATCTTCCTTGCTTAAGCACTTTTTGTTGGTTTTGGTCAGCTGTATTTCCAGTGGTTTTCAAAGGCTGCACCTTAGGTTCAACCTGTGGGTCCCCAGATGTTTTGGCCTACAACTCCCAGAAACCCCAGCCAGTTTGTCAGATGTTAGGACTTCTGAGAGTTGAAGGCCAAAATATCTGGGAACCCATAAATCAGTGGTTCTCAACCTGTAGGTCCCCAGATATTTTGGCCTTCAACAGCTGGTAAACTGGCAGGGAGTTCTGGGAATGGTAGGCCAAAATACCTGGGGACCCACAGGTTGAGAACCACTGCCATAGGTTGAGAAATACTGTTCTACAGGGATAACTAGTTCAGTGTCCTTGTATTTCAGTGGTTCTCAACCTGTGGGTCCCCAGATGTTTTGGCCTTCAACTCCTAGAAATCCTAAAGGCTGGTAAACTGGCTGGGATTTCTGAGAGTTGTAGGCCAAAACATCTGAGGACCCACAGGTTGAGAACCACTGTTGTATTTGTTGGGTGAATTGCAACTGCCTGCAATCACAGTGGATACTGCGGATTAGAAAAATCAGCTGTACTTATTGTAGAATTGGAATCCCTTCCAGGCTGGAGATCTCAGGGAAGAAAAACTCCCATCACTCCTGACCACTTCTCATAATGGCTGGGTTTGATGGAAACTAGGCTCCACAACATCTGGAGGTCACTAGCCTGAAGGAGGCAATCTTAGCACAGAATTGCTAAGGGTGTTTGTGTGACTGTTTCTGGTGATTGTGTTGTCAGATGGCCTCATATTCACTCTTGTCCTTTTGTATGCTTGCCTAGGTGAGAGTTGTGCTGGTGACAAAAGCCCCCCTGGGCAGCCCTCCTCTAAAAGAGCCCGCACAGCTTACACCAGTGCCCAGCTGGTAGAACTGGAGAAGGAGTTCCACTTCAACAGATACCTTTGCAGGCCAAGAAGGGTAGAGATGGCTAACTTGCTCAATCTCACAGAAAGACAGATCAAAATATGGTTCCAAAACCGCAGGATGAAATACAAAAAGGATCAGAAAGGGAAAGGCATGATGACCTCTTCAGGAGGACAGTCCCCCAGCAGAAGTCCTGTACCCTCAGCTCCGGGAGGCTACCTGAACTCTATGCACTCCCTAGTCAACAGCGTGCCCTACGAGCCCCAGTCCCCTCCATCCTTCAACAAGCCTCACCAGAACGCCTATGGCATCCCCACGTCATATCCGGCTCCTCTCACTAACTGCCCACCTCCCCAAAAGAGATACACCGGAACTGCCGCAGTGACTCCTGAATATGACCCTCATTCTCTCCAAGGCAATGGTTATGGTAATCCACATATACAGGGAAGCCCCGTCTACGTTGGGAGCAATTATGTGGACACCATGACGAATTCTGGGCCCTCCATCTTTGGTCTGACTCACCTCCCGCACCCTTCCGCTGCCAACATGGACTACAGTGGGCCAATGGGCAACAATCACCACCATGGACCTTGTGACCCACACCCAACCTACACAGACCTTACTTCTCACCATGCTTCTCAGGGAAGAATTCAGGAAGCCCCCAAATTGACCCATCTGTAATTATATCATCAGTTGCTTAGTGAATCCTTAAAAAATAAATAACCCCCAGCCCTTTTTTTAAGAAAAGGAAAGAAAAAAGGAAACTTTTGGAGTCCCCTCCCCCTCTCCTTCTGTTCTACTATTTTTCTTTTGGTTCCAAAAAAGGAAAGCATTTTCTAGTTTATGTGACGTAGCAATATTTGTTGCTTGAATTGCCCTCTAGTTTCCATGGTGGATATTTATCTCCTCGAACTCTTTGCCTTGTGTTCTCGCTTTGAGAGGAACGCAAAGGCTTTCTACATTCTTAATGTCGACTCTTTTATCAAAACAGGGTATTATGAACAAATTTTCTATACAGGCGGTTCTCAAATGTGAATTTGTTCCTACGGATTGATCCCAACCCGGGAGGCTTTTTTTTGGTATTATTTTAATTGCACTTCTTTTAAATAGCGAGAAAGAAATAAACAAAAGGCGCTTGCCGAGGGCTTCCCTGAATGAAATTATAAAAACGTGTACGTCAACGTGTGTATGCTGGTGACCTTTCAGATTTATTTATATTTTTTTGCAAACTTTGAATAATCTAAATGTTTAATTTTTTTTATTTATCCCCACCTGTTCATATTTATATACATATATATATATATAAAGATATTAAAAAAAATACCCCTTCTGTACCCTGAAAATTCAGGAGATATTTACCTGGCTGTATGTGAAATGGCATACATAGGGAATATCGTTTGAAAAAGGGAAACTAGAACTCTTTTATTTAAAAAGAAAGAAAGAAAAATGCAATAAAATCTGGAAATCAAAACAATAGGCCGCTCTAGAATTGAATGTCTTGTCAACATGGAATCGAACAGGACACATAACAACGTGGGAACCTGAATAAGGACAAGACAAAGAGACTCGATTTGTTTTGGAAGTTATACATTCCTTGCTGCTCACATTCTGAAAAAAAATTACAAATAAAGTTTTTATTCTGAATAATAGAGATTTAAAGCACGGTTATTTGAGAAATAATAATTTAATAAACCAGAAGAAGAAGAAGAAGAAGAAGAAAAGGCCCCTGACCCTTGAGGGTTAAATACAATAAATCTCCAATCTCCAACCTTGAGGTTCTTCTCTGTTGGTTTCTCACAGCCAACAAAGCTGAAGCAGATTCCACCTCAAATAACAAGCGGGAGGTTGGGAAACATTGGAAAATAAATATCCATGATGATGGAAAAGAATAGTGGTAATTCAGGAATCCAGGTGTCCAAAGGTTTTGATTCAATACTATAAGAAGTCAGTGCTTTTGGCGTTGCTTGTGCTTCTTCTTCTTCTTCTCCTTCTTGCTGGTATCGGATTGGGAAGGAAATTGTGTTTTTTTGTCGTCTGTAGCTCCATTCTGTCCCAAAGCTCAGGTGCTGTGGCTGCTCCCTTCTCCTCTGGAGGCCTCAATCGGAGCCTGGTTCTCGCTTGCAGGCTGTTCTTTCCCCGCATCCCACCCCTCTTGTCCTTCCTTCGCCATGTTGGGCTCTTTCCCCTGGAAGAGGCCAGCCGTTCCTATGGCGAAGGCTCTGCTGCCAGGAAGGGGGGCAAAGATCGAGCACGGCTTGCCTCCCACCCTTTTCCTCCCGGGAACCAAATGGGACAATTCAGCCCCTGTTTACGTTGAGTGATGGGAAAGGGTTGAAGCAGGGTTTCAGAAGGGCTAGAAAGGAAAGAAAAAAGGGAAGGAAGAGGGAGAAACCACGAGGAAATGGCAGGCGAACCCAGCAGAAGTCAGGCAAAAGATGAGCAGGCGCGCAGTGTAAGGCTCGTATTTGATATGGCACGGATTCAAAACACATTTGTTTACAGGCAAAATACAATTCATCATCTCCATAATGAAGGAGCCAGACGCGGCGATCATAAATCAGGCCCCGAGTGCCAGACGATCATCTGAAAGAAAGAGAAGGAGAGTTGATTCCTTTGGAGTCTTCTCCACCAAGCGAGGTTTTTTCCTCCTTCTCCTTCCTCTCATCTGCAGGTTCTGAAACTCAGGAGTATCTTGTATTATGATTTTTGAAAGTCTTGTTAATACAACTTCCTTTCCCATCTATCTCATCCCCTTTCTTTCTAGATGCTGGTGGGGGTTGGGAAATGAGAGAACTATTTCCGCCCTAGGGATATTTCTATGCCTGGGGATGTGAGCATATTTTCCTAGGGATAGATCAGAAGCTAATAAGAAAGAAACTATTGAGAGAGATATATAGTGTGTATGTATGTATGTATGTATGTATGTATGTATGTATGTATGTATGTGTGTATATATTCTCTCTCTAAATAGTTTATATATATGTGTGTGTATATATATATACACAGACATGCATACATACACACACTATATATATATAGTGTATGTATGTATGTATGTATGTGTGTATATATATTCTCTCTCTAAATAGTTTGTGTGTGGATATATATATATATATATATATATATATATATATATTGTGTGTGTGTGTGTGTGGATATATATTTTTTCTCTCTCTTTAAATAGTTTCTTTCTTATTAGCTAGATATATATAGTGTGTGCATTTATGTCTGTATGTCTGTATATATATATTTTCTCTCTCTAAATAGTTTATATATATTGTGTGTGTGTGTGTGTGTGTGTGTATATATATATATATATATTCTCTCTCTCTCTCTCTCTCTCTCTCTCTCTCTAAATAGCTTCTTTCTTATTAGCTTCTGGTCTATCTCTAGGAAAATATGCTCCCATCCCCAGGCATGGACTGAGCTTCCCCACGGAAACAAAATCCTTGCAATGTATTGTCGAAGGCTTTCATGGCCGGAATCCCTGGCTTGCTGTAAGTTTTCTTGGCTGTATTGCCAGCATTCTCTCCTGACCTTTCGCCTGCATCTATGGCAGGCATCCTTAGAGATTTTGAGGTCTCACAACTCTGAGGATGCCTGCCATAGATGCAGGCGAAACGTCAGGAGGGAATGCTTCAGGAACACAGCCATACAGCCCGGAAAACTCACAACAACCCAAAATCCTTGCCTTTTTTTTTAAAGAAAGCAGAAAAGAGACTCGTTTGCCTTTATAATCTCAAGATGAAGGCTGCAGGGTTTCTCTCCATTGGGTTTTGCAATTATAAGTTGTATGGATGAGCAAAATTCTATCTTGCAGAATATTCCACATATTTTTGTTTCCATTGGGGTTTTTTTATCGCCATGTAGGTTTCTCTGCTAGAAATACTTTCTCTTTTCTCCGCCCTCCCCATCTATAAATATTTCCGGTTTTATGTTCTAATAATCCCCCTTTGTCCCCCTCTTTTGGAGCCTTTGGTGAGCTCCCTACAGCCAGCCACTGCGTAAAAATGCATTATTCCCGCATCGTCATGTTACAGTCTATACATACCTTATTCCAGCTTCGCTTTAAGCCGTTCCTTTTATACTTACAGCTGGGCTCTCCAACGTGAAGAGGAAATGGACAAAGCTTTTGGAAACCCCATCATATCGATTAGGGGAGGAAAAAAGACGCTTATAATGTGAGGAATTATTTCTAAAAAGCCTCAGGTCCGAAAAAGAGGGAAGGAGAATGGATCAAATGGCGGATATTTCCCCATTGAGAATGAATTTGTAGAAAGACGCCTCCTGTCCGTCTGGGGCGGATAACGGTCTGGTTTGTGGGTCTAAGAAACCCACTTTAACTGGCATGGAAAAGAAAAGAGTTTCCCTCTGATTTCCAAGGCATACATTGACCCTTTTCCTCTCATATTGCCGTTTATATGTATTCCCCCCCCCCCCGCATCTGAATCCCTCCTTCTCACCCCAACGATATCATAGTTTAGATCTCATTTAGAGAAGGAGGGAAATGGGATAGTTTTTTTTTAAAGGACAGAATTGGGATGAGTGGGAAGGTGGGAAAGGCAGGCATTTTCCTCCAAAGGCGAGAGTGTGTGGGGAGGCCTCCTTTGTTCCAGGTGGGTTTTCCATTAGCCTGTCCAGCAAGAAAAGGTCCTCAATAACCCTCCTACGCCGATTTCCCTCACAAAGCCTGCTCTAGCCAAATCCCTCACCTCCTCCTTCGTTGCCCTTTCCCCCTCCCCTTTGACTATCCCCCCCTCCCAATATTAGAGGGAAACAGGAAGGGAAGACCTCTAGAAATCCTAAGGAACCAAAAATGCTCACCACGAGAGCAATTTAATAATATTAATACTAATAATACCAATACTAATAATACTAATATATTAATAATATATTAATAATACTAATAATAATGAAATCAAATCCTTTTTGGAAAGAAAGGCACTCCCATCCTCTTTCTATGTTTACTTGCGTTTCTTTCTTTCTTTCTCTCTCTTTCTTTCCAACCCCCCTTCTTTTTTCTCTCTCTCTCCGCCACATTTGATACTGGGAAGAGGAAGAACCTTTAAATGTGTTCTTAAGGGCCAGAGGCTGTCAAAGCGTTTGGCCGGGAAGATTGATCGGGCGCAGGCTTTAGGCGAGCTTTGTTTGAAGTAAAAGCAAGAAAATTAAAACCCCTCTCCATCTCCAACAGCATGTATATTTGTAAGGCATCCACTCCCTTTTTTTTCTTTCTTCTGCTTCTCCTTCTCCTTCTTCTTCCCTCCCTGCCCTCCTTCTTTCCTCTCCCGAGTTGGATTAAATAACCATCCCCATCAGCATTTTATGGTACGCCACCCACCACCCACCCTCCTAACCCTTGATCCATCCATACTGTGGAGGAGTTGTATACATCGGAATATATATATATATATATATATATATATATATATATATATATATGAGAGGATTTGCTTTTTTTGTGTGGTCAGATTCGCTCAATCTGAAGATGTAATGGCCAGTTTATTATTTTAACGGCTGGCCAGCTTTTCTAGTGACTCAGCCTCTAAGATTTTTGAAAAGCCTCTCAGTAGCGGATGCACATACTGCGCCATCACTAGAATAGATAAATATAAAAATAGAAGCCCTTCTTCTTCTGATGCCCCCCTTCCTTCGTGTCCAAACCCTCTCCCTTGCTCTGCCTTTGGGAGAAGAAATCTTTGTCTGGTTTCCTCACCCTCTTCCGCCTCCATCTTTCCCCCCTCCCCGTTACCTTTCCGTTTGAGACCAGACCTGGACGCCCCCAAAATATTGCCATTGTTGGAAAAAAAGGGAGGAGAGAAAGACATTACTTTATCTCAAACAGTACAATTGATGAGTTTTGCTCATATTCATTGGTTTGGATTTATTTCTGCGAACATTCAATTGGAATTTTGGATGGAGAGGAAATATATTTTATTTTAAAATGAGGGGGATGAAATTAGGAATCCAATTATGTCAACAAATTGATGTGAATGCTTTGAATTTGTGTCTCTCCTTCTCCTTATTGAAAGGGTTTTTGTTTACAGCCCCAATGTCTAAGGGAAATAAAGGGAAATAGATACGCATCTATTTCCCATTATTTCCCTATTTCCCTTTATTTCCCCCTTAGACGTGGGGGCTGTAAACATAGATGCCTGTGTGTTGGATAGGACTGAAATATCAGCCCTCCTGTCTCCCCCAGGTGGGACAACGGGGGTTGGGAGGAGCCCTGAAATTGAGCAGGACGGCAATCAGATCATTAATAATAATAATAATAATAATAATAATAATAATACAGCCCGGAAAACTCACAGCAACCCAGTGATTCCGGCCATGAAAGCCTTGGACAACACATAAATCATAAGTTTGGTCAAAGGATTCACCCAAACCCCAACATTCCCTTTCCCTGTTGGAAGGGCGCGCTTCTTCCTGCCAAGGCGACTCAGTGGCAGGAGCCCTTGCCTCTTCTTTCTCCTCTTGGCCTCGGCTGGAGGAATTCCTTCCACACAATGGAGGGACCGAGGGCCAATTGTCCTCCCCTACTGTACCCTCCACCGAAAGGCGAAAGGCGGGGATGGGAGGGAGGAGGGAGAGGGATTCTGTTGGAAAGAAACAAACGCTGGAAGTTGCCAAGTGGGGAAAAGAACGGGGTTCCAGAGGAGAGGGAAAGAAGGACACAAGGGAGCCTTGCTTTGCTGGGACGGTTTTCATTTTGGGAAAGTGTTTTATGTATTGTTTTTATTTTACAGGCTGGTGAATGCACAGGAGTGCTGGGAGAGGGGAAGAAACATTTTAATTTTTAATAAATGTTTTTAAAAATCGCATGAGATGTTAGTGTGTCTGTCTGTCTGTCTGTCTCTCTCCCCTCCTCCTTGTTGGGCACCTCCAAACTTCTTGAGGTGGGTGTCAAAACTTTGCGGTTGACTTTGTGAAGGACTCAAGGCTCGGTTGTGATTTGTGAGGTGCGGAGGAGCAGCTCCTGACCCTTCGGGAAGATAAATCCGGGAGAAGGAAGCCAACCCGGGGCAGAAGGAAGCCCTCAAGACCAGCTGGAGGGAGGAAGCGAGCCAGCTTCGCCGGGAGCAGCTCCCTATCTTCCACCAAGAAGCAGGCAGGCACAAAACTACAACACACACAAACATCTCTCTCTCTCTTTCTCTCTCTCTCCCTTCTCATATCAGTACAGATTAGGAGGCGAAAGGGGACCCAGCCAGGGCGGGTAGGCAGAGATAGCCATCCCCCCCTTTTAAAAAAGTGTAAATACTGCCTTTCTGGCCCCCAATGAGGCGTTCCTTCCCGACTTTTTTGGATCAATCAAACAGACAGTGGCTTCTTTTGATTAAAGCCCAAATTGTCATTGGGCAGAGGCAATCATGTGACAGCCAATTCGGTCCAATTTCAACCTTGTCTCCATGAATTCAATAGTTTAATAGTAGCACGGTCCCCATACGGCTGTAATCAGTGAATTAGAAAAAAAACACCCCACCAGCGATCTCCTATGATATTTTCCCCCTTCCTTTTTCTTCCTCTCTCTCTCTCCCTCTTCCTCCCTCTCTCTCTTTCTCTCTCTCTCTCCCTCTCGCTTTTCGCCCTCCCCCCTTTTTTCCCTGGGCCTTGCTTCCCCCTCCCCCCCTCCCCGAAGCGCTAAATAAGAGGGAACTTTTTCTCCAAGGGGGCTGCGAGTTGAAGGCCATGAATTTCGAATTTGAGCGAGAGATTGGTTTTATCAATAGTCAGCCATCGCTCGCTGAGTGCCTGACATCTTTTCCCCCTGTCGGTGATACATTTCAAAGTTCATCAATCAAGAACTCGACGCTTTCACACTCGACACTGATTCCTCCTCCTTTTGAGCAGACCATCCCCAGCCTCAACCCAGGCAGCCACCCTCCTCGCCACCACGGAGGCAACCACGGCACCGGCAGCCGGCCCAAGCTCAGCCCCAATGGCCACGGAGGCAGCCCCCTGCCAGCCGGAGCCCTCCAGCCCGCGGAGTACCCCTGGATGAAGGAGAAAAAAGCCTCCAAGAAAGGCGCCCTGCCGCCCGCCGCCTCGGCCTCGGCCCCGGGACCAGCTTGCCTGAGCCACAAAGGTCAGTTGAAAGACTTGGCTGCGCCCTTCAGCCTTCGGGGAGCGGGCGGTGGCCACGAAAAGGGAGCAGAGAGGAGAGATGGATAGATAGAGATAGATAGATCATGCCCTCCTTTTCCTACATCCACCACACTTGGGTCCTCGCTTTCCTGACTTGATGTTTGTTGGAGGAACTAAAGAGTGGGGAAGAAGAACGCTGGTGGGAGCCACAGGCAGATTCTTCAGAAGCCAAGCCACCACGATTCTTCAAAAAGCAAACCACAACTACCATTCTTGGACCCCTTCTCACTATCACCCCAAGCAAAGTTTTCCTCCTTCCATCCTTCTTCCCTTCTTTCCTTTATATCTCTCCTTCCTTCCTTCTCCTTCCTTCCTTCCTTCCTTCCTTCCTTCCTTCCTTCCTTCCTTCCTTCCTTCCTTCTTCTTTCCTTCTTTATCCTCCCCTTCTTCCTTCTTCTTCCCTCCCTTTTTCCCTTCTTTCCCTTTCTTTCTCTTCTTCCTCCCTTCTCCTTCCTTCTTTCCTTCTCTCTCCTTCCTTCCCTCTTCTTCTTTCCTTTTTTCCCTTCTTCTTTCTCTCTTTCTCCTTCCCTCCTCCTCCTCCTTCCTCCTCCTTTCCTTCTATCTTTCTCTCCTTCCTTCTTCCCTCCCTTCTTTCCTTCTTTCTCTCCTTCCTTCCTTCTCTCTCCCCCCCCCCCCCCCCGGTTTTCCTAACTTGTTTAGCGTGGGATGATTTATTTGAGTTGGAGGTGACCTCCTCTTGTCTGGCTGTCCTAGAGTTGGGGGCTCTTTGACAGTAATGAAGAGTGATAGATTGCTCTTGCTCAGCTAAGCAGCTGATGCATTAATTATAAATTGCGGTATGGCTAATATCAAAGTTTTGTGCCGGCGATGGGCAGAGTTCTGGGGGGAGATGGAAGCGAATCAGTGCCTGGAGCTCACAGGGGAGAAGAAGTGGGGGGGGGGAAACATGGGGGGGGTCGAGATCGAGGAGGAAGGAGGACCAGGAGTGTACGACACAATGGATTTACTGCATTCAAGGGGCGGCCATTTTGTTGCGGTTGTGGGGTGTTATTGTGATATATTTTTTTACAGAAAAGGAAAGAGATTTCCCACCAGGAATCCCAATCACCACTGCTTTCTCACCCAGGCTTTTGGATGTTCAAAATCCAAGATAGTATAGAGGCATTCTCTCTCTTCCTTCTCCTCCTCCTCTTCCTCCTCTCTCTTTGGTGACCTCTATGATCCCATTCTTCTCGCTCTTTTCTCTGCCAACAGAATCTTTGGAGATCTCGGAAAATGGGACCGGGGGCTCGAGGAGGCTGAGGACGGCTTATACCAACACGCAGCTTTTGGAGCTGGAGAAGGAGTTCCATTTCAACAAGTACCTCTGCAGACCCCGGCGGGTGGAGATCGCGGCTCTGTTGGACCTGACGGAGAGGCAAGTCAAAGTCTGGTTTCAGAACCGGCGGATGAAGCACAAGAGGCAGACCCAGTGCAAGGAGAACCAGAACAGCGAGGGGAAATTCAAAGGCTTGGAGGACCCCGAGAAAGCCGAGGAGGAGGACGAGGAGGAGGACGAGGACGACGAGGAGGAGGAAGAGAAGTCCCTCTTCGAGCAAGCCCTCCACAGCCTCCCCGGCCCGCTTTTGGAGAGGGAGGGCTTCCCTTTCCCGCAGCCCCAGCCGCCCCAGCCCCACCACAACGGGGAGTCGCCCCGCTTCCCCATCTCGCCTTTGGCCAGCAATGAGAAAAATCCGAAACATTTCCAGCACCAGTCGCCCACTGTTCCCAACTGCCTGTCAACAATGGCCCAGAACTGTGCCGCCGGCCTCAACAATGACAGCCCGGAGGCCCTGGAGGTGCCTTCCTTGCAGGACTTCAGCGTTTTCTCCGCAGACTCCTGCCTCCAGCTCTCCGATGCCGTCTCCCCCAGTTTGCCAGGCTCCCTCGACAGCCCCGTCGATCTCTCCGCCGACAGCTTTGACTTTTTTACGGACACACTCACCACCATTGACTTGCAGCATCTGAATTATTGAAAACAATCACAGACCTTCATATGCGCCAACTAGGGTTATGCTTTCAGGTCTCTGCCCTTCTCCAGCTTTCCCCCCCACCTTTCTCTCTGTAGTCCATTGTCGAAGGCTTTCATGGCCGGAATAATTGGGTTGTTGTGAGTTTTTCGGGCGATGTTCCAAAAGCATTCTCTCCTGCCATAGATGCAGGCGAAACGTCAGGAGAGAATGCTTCTAGAGCATCTCCATACATCCCGGAAAATTCACAACCCCTCTCTCTTTCTTTCTTTCTTTCTCTCCTTCTTTCAATCTCAATGGATCTCTAGCCACCCCAAAACACAAACAGCCATCTCCACCCTCCCCCACATTAGCAGATCTTGATTATTTGAGTTCTTTCCTTTCCTGGCCGCTATTTTCTTGCTTCTTCTCCCTCTCTTGGTGTGTCGCCATTTCCCTTCCCCTTCTATGCCACCCTTAGTTGTCTTCGGTTGAACCTAGCCACATCCTAGGAGGTCCTTGCTCTGAAAGCAATCTATGAGGCCTGTGAGAAAGTGATCATATCGAATTGTATCGTCACTTTCTTTTTATTTTTGTATTGCATTAGGATGCGTTGTCATAAGTATTTTTGGTAGAATAAATTTCTTGTTTGCTACAAGCACCTTTCTTTTCGCTTTCTCTTTGCCCTCCCCCCCCCCAATTCCCCCCCAACATGCATAACACAGGCAGGAATTCCCCCCTCCCCCTTTCCCCTTTAGTCTGAAATAAAACCAAGCCTGCCTTTTTCGTTAGGAATATTTATTGGAGGGACGACATCTTTAAAATAATTTATTTCCAAAGTTTCCAAAGGAAAAAAATAGTAGGGGGGAATTAAAATACCTCTGAACCATACATAAAAATATTTTCCCCATTAATGCATATAATACATTAGATTCAAGAAGGTGGGGGCACGTTCAGACGTTTCCATAGGGTGTGTGCATATATAATTAGGATTTTTGGGTACAGTTTGTCTAACTGGAGAATATACCAAAGTCCAAGTGGAAAGAGGGACATTTTTTTTTCCTGTTACTGAAAGCGTTTAGTTGTTCCTGCTGCGGGGGAACCATTCCTTGAATGCCAGCAAAGCTTTTCTTTCCTTGGATGCCTTTCCCAGCAAGTCCAAAGATCCCAAGAAAAGACACCTAGAAAAAAAGAAAAAAGAAAGAGAAAATCAGGCAAACTTTTTAAAAAGACAAGGCTTTCATTTAAATTTGTGGAATTTGTATGAAACGTGGGCTTAAATTCTGAAATTTCGGAGAGGTTTAGGGAACAAAAGCAGTGGTAGCGCCAAGGCAAACAATTATAATTCAGTGTGTTGTCGAAGGCTTTCATGGCCTGATTGCTATGAGTTTTCTGGGCTGTATGTTCCAGAAGCATTCTCTCCTGACGTTTCAACAACATCTATGGCAGGCATCCTTACAGGTATAGATGTGGGCGAAACATCAGGAGAGAATGCTTCTGGAACAGACAACCCGGAAAACTCACAGCAACCAAATTCTAACACAGTCGAAACTGGGTTTTAAAATCACCATATGAATACGGTTTCATCACACTAGAGAATGAATCCACTTTAAATCCGGTTTCTGCCTCCTGCAGAATTCTGGGGTTTGTAGTTTAGGAAGGAGCCTTTAACAGCCTCACTAAACTACAAACTCCAGAAGTCTGCAGGAGGCAGAAACCGGATTTAAAGTGAATTCATTCTTTTTGAAACCCAGATTGTTAGCAGCCTTGTTGTCATGGCCTGCAGCCTATCAGTAGATGATAGCAGAGATGTGGTTGTAGATAGGTCTGTTTCGGGGTGAATCTATGCTTGTGGGCTTCTCTGCCTGGATGTGCCTAGAAATGTATCCACAGAGCTCTCCAAACCGCCTGGAATTTCGGATTTTCCCGCGGTCTTTGCAGATTTGGGCACCAAATTTCCAAGCCCAGTCTGTTTACGATTTCGGTGCGATGTTGGCTCCTCTCTCTCTCTCTCTCTTTCGCAATCCCCATAAAAGAGGGTGTTGCAGAGCTCCCTGGGTAATAACTGGAAGGGTTGGAGGCAATTCTTCCTAAACCCATAAATCACGCGCTTTCTGTGAATGAGAATGTCATCGAAGAAATCAATGGCAGGAACACACGCACAAATAAAAATCTCCTTACGTATTTGCTCGGCCTGGGGATCCCCGTCTAAAACCATTAAGCGAGGAGGCGGTTAGTCATAATTCATTTTTATTGCGCTGTTAAAACAACAGCTTGGCTAGGCTTCAGGTGCGGCAGGCAGGGAAGCCCTCGCTTTCTCCCTCTCCACTCCCTCTCTCTTTTGCTTTCCCTTTTCTAAACCGGAGCCCACTTGGCTTAGGCTGGATCTACACTGCCAAACAATGCCACTGGAACCGCGTTATATGACCAGTGTAGTACAGACCCCTATAATGCACTTCAAACTACATTATACGAGTCTCCACTAGATTGTATAATGCAGTTCAAACTGCATTATATGGCTAGTATAGTATAGATTCGTATAATGTAGTCCCAACTACTTTATACATCTACACTGACCATATAATGCAGTTCAAACCGCATTATATGGCCAGTATAGTGTAGACCCATATAATGCAGCTCAAACTACATTATACGAGTCTCCACTGACCATATAATGCAGTTCAAATTGCATTATATGGCCAGTATAGTGTAGACCCATATAATGTAGTTCCAATTACGTTATACGAGTCCACACTGACCATATAATGCAGTTCAAACCGCATTATATGACCAGTATAGTGTAGACCCATATAATGTAGTTCAAACTACGTTATACGAATCTACACTGACCATATAATGCAGTTCAAACTGCATTTTATGGCCAGTATAGTATAGACCCATATAATGCAGTCCCAACTACATTATGCGAATCTACACTGACCATAAAATGCAAAATTGGCCGTCTGCAAGGATGTTGCCCAGGGGATGCCCGGATGTTTTGATGTTTTACCATCCTTCTGGGAGGCTTCTCTTATGCAGCTGACAGAGGGAGCTCATCCGCGCTCTCCCATGTATACTATAGATCCATATGATGCAGTTCAAACTACATTATCTGAGTCTACACTGACTATATAATGCAGTTCAAACTGCATTATATGATCAGTACAGTTTAGACCCATATGATGCAGCTCAAGCTATTTTTCGAGTGTACACTGGCCATACAATGTTCAAACCGCATTATATGGTCAGTGTAGACTCGTATAATGTAGTTAAAACTGCATTATATGGTAAATATAGTATAGACTCATATAATGCAGCTCAAAGTACATTATACGAGTGTACATTACCATATAATGCAGCTCAAATGGCATGATATGGCCAGTATTGTATAGACCCATACAATGCAGTTCAAACTATATTATTCGAGTGTACACTGACCATATAATGCGGTTCAAACTGCATTTTATGGCCAGTATAGTATAGGCAAATATAATGCAGCTCAAACTACATTATACGAGTCTATACTGAACATATAACACAGTTCAAACTGCATTATATGGACAGTATAGTATAGACCCATATAATGCAGTTCAAATTATATTACTGGAGTCTACACTGACCATATAATGCAGCTCAAACTGCATTATTTGACAGTATAGACCCAGCTTTATAGGATTCCCTTCGCAGCACAGATGGGGACTGTGTGTTTTATTTTACATAGACAAGGCAGTCTTTCTCTTCGTTTGGGAGGGTTGAAAGAACAAAAGAATTACTCGAGACATGGCTTATGCTTGAAATAGATTTCCTCTCGCTATTCCAAGTACCTCAACTTATATTGATCTCCCCCCCCCATTAAAAAAAATCCCAATACACCCCCCTCCTCAATTCGGAGATAGGAAGGCAAAGTCTATTGTTAGGTGCATGAAAATGCGCCCAGAACAACAAGGCAACAAAGGAGGATGTGGGGACGTGTTGCAGGTCTATCTGGAGCTTTCAGTTGGGAGCAAAACTTTGCTTTCTCCGCCATCTCCAGAGGCACCAGCCTCAGCTTCCCCCCCCCACCCTTTCTCTTCTCTCCTGCTCTACCTCCCCCCCCCCCCCCCGCCTCTACATCTCGATGTGTCCCCCCTCCTTGCATTGTGGTGAACGGAGAGGATTGTGTAGGCCTCGGAATGCAAAGCGCTGGGCCACAGACAGTCTAACAAAAGGGAAAGATGTCTTCGGAACAATGGCGGAGAAACGAGGGAAAGTGGTGGAGGGGCTGGCGATGGCAGGCCTGGGGAGGGGGGAAGAGAAGGTTTGGAGGGGAAAAGATGGCCTGAATAGATAGATAACGAGAGAAACTGGGTCGGGAGGCAAAGAGGGAGATGATATATAATATAGGAAGACGGAAAGAAGCTGCAGTAAGAGCAGGCCCATTCATGAATGTGAGGCAACACACTGGTAAATCTGCTTTAAGAGAAAGGTAAAGCCCAGTCGTGTCCGACTCTGGGGGTTGGTGCTCATCTCCATTTCAAAGCCGAGGAGCCGGCGTTGTCCATAGACACCTCCAAGGTCATGTGGCCTGCATGACTGCATGGAGCGCCCTTACCTCCCCGCCGGAGCGGTATCTATTGATCTACTCACATTTGCATGTTTTCGTACTGCTAGGTTGGCAGAAGCTGGGGCTGACAGCGGGAGCTCATTTTCTATTGCTTTAGTCAGGACTAATAACAAAAATTCAGATTCCAGAGTGTTAAGGTGGGTGAAATGCGATGTCTAGCCTTTCCCCTTTTTTTCTTATCGTCCACTTTGGCCCAAAATCTCCAAACAAAACATCAAACGCGATTGATTTTAGCCCATGTGTTAATTTTCTCTTCCTGGCCCAGCATGAAACAACATTTCACTCCAAATCCAGCTTCTGAACTCCATGAAAAGTTGTGCTTATTCTTTCCCAGTGCTCTGGATGTTTCTACCAATGACATGGCGAGGAAGCAGGGACCAGGGGAACCAAGGAGACCATTGAGAAATGGGGCACTCTGTCAAGCTCCTCCTTCAGTCAACAGAGCCATGGAGAATCCGTGCTTTCTTGCTGTTTTTTCTGTCTGAGAGCAAAATCTGAGCACTGGGTGCAGGCAGGGGCTTTCAGCCAAAATTGAGTATTTTCCCCCTTAAAATCCCATCTGCTACAAACTGGAGTATAGCTCTACCAAATAAATAAGGGAGACTTACTTCCTGTAAACATCCAGGAGAATGCTTGTGCCCAGATCCTATATATCAGGCCTAGACCAACTTGGTCCCTCCAGGTGTTTTGGACTTCAACTCCCACCATTCCCACCATTCCTAACCATTCCTAATAGCCTCAGGCCCCTTCGCTTAAGCGGCTGAGGGGGAAAAGGAAGGGGCCTGAGGCTGTTAGGAATGGTGGGAGTTGAAGTCCAAAACACCTGGAGGGCCCAAGTTGGCCCTGGTCTGAATTATATATACTTGACTGAATCTTGCTTTTGATTGATAGGGATCCAAACCTGAAACCACTTCAGGAAACAGCCCCAATCTGGATTGGTAGCTTGGAGAACTACTGAGTGGCCGAATGCGCATGCGCAGATGCCTTTACGCGCAGACCGGCACGTACACGCATGCTCCAATGGATGGAACATCCCAGCAAACAACCCTCCATACAACAATGTCAACTTGCTCTTCGGGTTCATTTCAACTTTGCCCTAAGGAGTACACTATGCAAAATAAGAGCCTTTGCTAAACTAAACCTTGCAATTTTCGCCTCTCTCTCCAGGCAAAGTTCTCCAAGAAGCAGAGCTTACTCCTCACTGTATCCCTTGTCTCCTCTCCAGTCAAACCGCCAGGAACCTTATCCCTCGCCCCCATGTTATGTCCTTTAGGCTCACCTTGCTTTTCAGATTTCAGATTTAACTTGAATGCTAAGCTCCCCCTCCGCATGCTTCGATAGGCCATATCTTTTTTCCATCTTTTTATGGGTAAACAGTAGGTCCCTGTGTTGTTGAAGGCTTTTGTTGCCAGAATCTCTGGGTTGCTGTGAGTTTTCCGGGCTGTATGGCTATCTCTCATGTTTCTGGAACATGTCAATGAGCCCGGGAAACTCACAGCAACCCAATAGGACCCTGTTTTCCCTTTCAGCAAGTTCCTAACCCATAGAAAGCCACCTTTCTTTAGCCTCCTTTCAGGTCCGTAGCCAGGATTTTGATTCGGGGGTGGGTGGAGTGGGGCACAGTGATTGGGGGGGGGGGGAGTTGGGGGGGGGGGGGAGGATCTACCCTAGCAAACCTTTTGTATCATTATCCCAATACCCCCATGCATATGGGATATATTGAGCATGGTGATCAGATCATGATATGAATAAACATAACAGTTTAAATAATGTACCAGTAAGGCCTTCTCGCAGACCACCCTGAGAATTTGGGGGGGGGGGGGGCTGAAGCCCCTAAAGCCCCCCCCTACATGCTTCCTCCTTTGATTTCAGTGAGTGAAATGGGGGACTTTCACACTGGGAAAAGACAGAGCTGGGAAACAATTACCAGGGGAACTACTGAGGCTGCTTCCAACGTCCCAGCATTGAATAACACAATCCCCAAATCTAGGGAACCTTTGATTTCAGTGCCTGGCGTCCACGAAGCCCCACCGAAGGGAAACAGTTCTCAAATGACCAAAGGAAGCCCCCCCCCTTCCATTGTTAAGTCTCCTCCCCCTAAGAAGTCTGTCATCCAGTGTTGGTGTTTTCAGTCACAAATACCCTTTTAATGGGTTGTTGTGTGTTTTCCGGACTGCATAGCCACGTTCTAGAAGCATTCTCTTCTGACGTTTTGCCTCCATCTATGGCAGGCATCCTCAGAGGTTGTGAGGCCTGAGGATGCCTGCTATAGATGCAGGCAAAACGTCAGGAGAGAATGCTTCCGTAACGCGACCATACAGCCCTGAAAACACACAGCAACCCAGCTTCTCGTTCTCTGTATCATTAGCCATTGGTTTGCAATGGGTAGACTGCAAGGCTGCAATTTGCTATGTCCCCTATCCCAACGAGAGGAAAATACATGTGCTTTAAACAGCCCTCACAACCTTTTAGGATGCCTGCCACAGATGCAGGCGAAACGTCAGGAGAGAATGCTTCTGGAACGTGGCCACACAGCCCGGAAAATACACAACAACCCAGTGATTCTGGCCATGAAAGCCTTAGACAATACAATACCCTTTTAGTTTCCAAACAGTGCATATGAGAGGGCAGGAAAGGACGTAGAGGCAGGCAGAGGCAGTTCCTGAGAGAGGCAGAAGGAAGGAGGGAAGAGGGAGGAGAGGAAGGAAGAGAGAAGGAGAAGAAGGCAGGGAGGAGCAGAGAAAGGCAGAGTTTGCACAGGCGCACTGAGGACTCTGCAAACGCGGGCCGGGGAACCAGCTGCCTTGGCAACCCTTTGTAAGCACTTCCTCCTGCAGCCAAGCGGAGACGGATCGCTTCAAAGGCAGAGAGATGGGGGGAATGGAGAACCCTTGACTCCAAACCCACCCCACTGTCTCGCAGAGCCCCCCCCCCCCAAACATCCAGCCCTCCGCCCGCAAAGGCACAATGGCGTTGCTTGCTTCATTCCCATGCAAATCATCATCCGGGCGAGGAGGCTGGACCTACCAGCCCGGTTTTAACTCTTGCTCTGCGGAGGCGCCCGGGGTTTAGTTGGTGCCCCGCCGGGGATCCCATCTACCCCCCCCCCCGGACCCCTTTCTTTCTCCTATTGACCCATTCACGCACCCACTGCTGGGTCCTTCTCCTCCATCTCCTTCCTTAGGACTTGGTGCTAGAACCAGATCTGGTGCTGTCTGGGAAGAGAGAGAAGGAGGCGAGGCTGGCCCTCTACCGCCCCCACGCCTGGCTTCCTGGGCTTACCTGCTTGGCCGGGCTCTCCCCGCTCTGTCCCTCCCGCGGCGGGCGGGCGAGGATGGTCTCTCAGGCAGGGTGCCTGGGCTGGCTCTCCAAGCAGCCCAAGGCATTGACTGAGGATGGGCGAGGAGGAGGAGGAAGAGGAGGAGGGGGGAGTGAGGGAGGTGGTGGCTGCGCGTCACCTTGACGGAGCAGCGCTCGGAATTTAAATGCCACCGCCAGGGCGATCCATCAAACAGGAAGGGACCGGGCCACGCTGGCAGGAGGCGCCGCTATTGGCTGCCGCCCTCACGTGGCCGCCGCCCGACTGTACATTCATATCATTTTTCTCCGGGGCCCCCATGGAGGAAGTGGGGAAGTTGGCACGGGCACCCGGGACTCCCAGCAGCCGGTGATAGATGGACTAGATGGACGCGGCGAGGATGAGTTCCTTCCTCGATTACCCGCCCATCCTCAACGGAGGAGAGCCCGCCACTTGCTCCCCCCGCGCCTACCACCACCACCACCATCCCCACCACCACCACCGCCACCACCACCCCGAGCATGGGGCCACCGCCAGTACCACCTTCCCGTCCTGCGCGGTCAGTGCCAACGGCTGCAACGGGGACGAGCGCTTCCTGGTGTCCCGAGGGATGCCGCTCAGCCCCCATGCCCACCACCAGCCGGGCCCCGCCTACCAGCCTCACCCCGGCCTGGGCATGTCCTACCCGCACCCGGGCTACGGGGCGCAAGGCTTCGGCGCCGGGGGCTACGGGCCCCACTACCCGCTGAGCCCCGAGGCAGAGGTGAACGCCGCCGGGTACCCCCAGTGCGCGCCCGGCCTCTACTCCGGGAACGTCTCCTCCTCGCCCTCGGTGGTGCCCCACCCGGCTCAGGGCTACGCGGGGGCCGCGGTGGGCTCAGCCCCCTACCTCCAGGCCCCCTACGGAGAAGAGCAGCAGGGACTGCCCTTGACCAGCTACGGACACCCCTTGTCCCCCCTCCAGTCCAGCCACCAGGAACCCTGCGGCTCCCCCTCCGCTTCCGAGACCTCTCCTCCGGCCCAGACTTTCGACTGGATGAAAGTGAAGAGGAACCCACCCAAAACAGGTGAGTCACCGTCCCCATTAGTCGGGCAGTAAAGACATGGGAGAAAAATCCCATAAAATGGAAAAACATCCCCTGGGCAACGTCCCTGCAGACGGCCCATTCTCTCACACCCTAAGCGACTTGCAGTTTCTCAAGTGGCTTCTGAGACAATTTTAAAAGTCGGGCTGGAAAAGTTGGAAGTGCCAAACTTTCTTCTGCTCTTTCTTTCTTTCTTTCGAAATAGACCACTAGCCACCAGACCAGACCCAAATAGACTGAGGAAGAATTAGAGTTGGGATCCTGAAGCTGAAGCAAGGGGGACATGTTCCGATTTGGAGATCTAATTGAAAGACAACTATTTTGGATGAGGATTTCTCCTCTCATCAACTGCTCTCGGGGCTTCTAATTGAAATACTCAACTTTGAGGTCCATAGGTGTTTATTTATTCCTTCCACGAGAGTGGTAAAACATTAAACATCCGGGAGTTTCCTGGCTAACGTCCTTGCAGATGGCCAATTTTTTTCACACCAGAAGCAACTTGCAGTTTTTCAAGTCACTCCCTTTGGGGTCCTAAGAGCAACCAATTCTCTGGTGTCCTATCATCTCAAGAAGTTAGTCTCAGTATAAGTGGGGAGTCTTTGAGCAAACAGAGTCAGAACTGGCCCAGAAAGTTTCTTTCAAGGTGACAGGTATTAAGGCCTTGTCTCTTAATACCTGTCACCTAGCGCTTTGAGGAACCCCGGGTAGTGCAATGGGTGGCACAATGGATTCGAATCCGGGGAGAGTGTTGAGGTCCCTCTGTCAGCTCCAGCTCCTCATGCGGAGACATGAGAGAAGCTTCCCACAAGAATGGTAAAACACCAAACATCTGGGCGTCCCCTGGGCAACGTCCTTGCAGACGGCCCATTCTCTCACACCAGAACCGACTTGCAGTTTCTCAAGTCGCTCCTGACACAGAAAAGAAAAAGAAACCTTGCGCCTTGTGGTGTCCACCCCCCCCCCCCTTTGCGAATTGTAGTTGCCTTATTGTTCTTGTTGTCTTTCTTTTTTTCTCCAGGGAAAGCGGGCGAGTACGGCTACGTGGGTCAGCCCAACACGGTCCGAACCAACTTCACCACCAAGCAGTTGACGGAACTGGAGAAAGAGTTCCACTTCAACAAATACCTGACCCGGGCCCGGAGGGTGGAGATCGCGGCCTCTTTGCAACTCAACGAGACCCAGGTCAAGATCTGGTTCCAGAACCGCAGGATGAAGCAGAAGAAGCGGGAGAAAGAGGGCTTGCTGCCCATTTCGCCGGCCACCCCGACCGGAAGTGAGGACAAAGCGGAGGAGTCGTCGGAGAAGTCCAGCCCATCCCCGTGCACCCCCTCCCCGGCCTCCTCTACCTCAGACACTCTGGCTACCTCCCATTGAACTAAACGGGACCCACTCCCCAATCCTCGAAGGCACAATCCTAGCGTCGTTTTTCTAGATTGGGTTCAGAAAGGCTTTAAACAAAAAACTATACGACATTTCCTCCCTCCGGGTAGTTTTATGTCTCCACTGGCACTAAGATGTCAGAGGGGGAAAACCAACCCCGCGAGATCCTGAACTTCTTCACTCTGGAAGCCAATCCCCTTGATTTCAGAGGATTTTCCCCCTCCCCCTACAAATCTGTGCAACGTTTAGTCTCTTCTCAAAACCAAGGAAGAGAGCCAGAGTTGTGCAGTGAGCCTTTCACCACGACTTTAGAGACCAAGGCTGCATCAAGGAAACCCACAGGGTGACCTTGGGCGAGTCACACTCTCTCAGCCCTAGAAAAAAAGGCACAAAACAAGGACAACTAACAACTGCAACAGCCAAGGAAAGTAATGTGGTGAGGCTTAGTTAGAGACTAACTGGAACCCCATTGATTTCAGTAGGATTTCGTTAGGATTGGTTTACTACCTTTGAATAAGTTCGGTAATGGGTATCCACAATCCCCTTTATTATTATTATTATTAGACATGATTTCCTTCCTCAATTCTAAATTTCCTTCCTCAATTTTTAAATTCGGTTTCATCTCCCCCTGGCGCAATGGGTGACAGGTATGAGTTTCGAATCTGGGGAGAACGTGGATGAGCTCCCTCTGTCAGCTCCAGCTCCCCATGCGGGGACACTAGAGAAGCCTCTCACAAGGATGGTAAAACATCAGGGCGTCCCCTGGGCAACATCCTTGCAGACGGCCAATTCTCTCACACCAGAAGCGACTTGCAGTTTCTCAAGTCGCTCCAGACAAGAAAAAAAATTACTCTAGATACTGTGTGGGAGCAATCATAAGAATTACTAGACTAGAAAGAAATTTCTAAGGACATTCATTACTGCAGAAGACACAGAAGATACCAAAAAAATCTTGCGAAGCGATAGATGCACTATATTGGGAAGCGTTTACACGAGTTCTAAGACTTTCGGTCTTTTAATTTAATGTCTCTGTTGTTTTATTTGTGTACGTGTGTGTACGAGTTTGTGGGTTGTAAATATTTTTTCCAAGAGATTTTATCTTTTTACGGATTTTTTCTAGAGATGTTTAGATAAGGAGATGAAACAGGGTGGTCACATTCTCAGAACTTGCTTCGGTTTTTATAACGAAAGGTGAGGATGTCGCGAATGTAAAACGTGTTCAACTCAATCAGATACCTCAAAAAATTATAATGTACTCGTAATATGTCTTTAAGTGAGTTAGGAAAAAAAACACAAGCCGAAATTGCACTAGGTTTTGTTTTATAATAAACCTGGCTTATGGGTATCTGTTTCCCCCTTTAAACCCTTTCATTCCCGACTTAAGATGATCATTAAGAAAAAAAGATAAACCAAGTCCCCTTCTTCCCTTTCTATGACTTGTACCCGGCCTTAGACTTGAAGTGTTTTTAGCCAAATTCCGGAATGTGATGGATGGCCAAATGAATGTATATTTTCTGTGATTTTATGTGTCTGGAACTTTGCATGGTGCACAAAGCTTTCATGTACTAAGCTGAGCTAACACTGAGTTCTATCAGTTGTCATTTGTGATCTAGTACTTTCTGATGTTTTCTGTACAATCATTCGAGGTTCTGGGATTCCTGTGGGATTCCGGGTGGGAAAGGATGGAATCCAGAGCAGAATTTTACGGGTCCTATAAATCTCTGTAATAAAAAAATACTCATATCTGAGGTGGTTCTTTGATTTGGATGCATTTCGGAAAGGAAAAGTCAAGAGGGTTGTTGTGAGTTTTCTGGGTTGTATGGCCATGTTCCAGAAGCATTCTCTCCTGACCTGCATTTATGTCAGGCATCCTCAAAGGTTGTGGGTTGTTGTGAGTATTCCAGGCTGCATGGCTATAAGCATTCTCTCCTGACGTTTAGCCTTCATTTATCGTAGGCATCCTCAGAGGTTTTGGGTTGTTGTGAGCTTTCTGGGCTGTATGGCCAAGTTCCAGAAGTATTCTGTCCTGACGTTTCGCCTGCATTTATGGCAGGCATCCCCAGAGGTTGTGGGTTGTTGTGAGTATTCCGGGCTGTATGGCCATGTTCTGGAAGCATTGTCTCCTGACGTTTCTCCTGGATCTATGGCAGGGATCCTCACAACCTCTGCCATAGATGTAGGTGAAACGTCAGGAGAGAATGCTTCTGCAATATGGCCATACAACCCAGTAAACTCAAAACAAAATAGTGATTCCAGCCATGAAAACTTCGACAATACATTGAAAAGGCACAACCTTGTTTGATTTCCCTCCAGGAATGACTCCCTAAAGACTTCTCTTCCTAGAGATGGGTTTTTCCTTTGTGTCTTCTGATCCCTGAAAGACCCCCCCTTCCCCCCCCAAACAGAAGTGATTTTTGTGTTTATCTTTCGGGGTTAGAGAAGGCGGAATCAGATCTATTTTTGAACCCACCTTTGCGGGAACTTCCTGGGTCAAGGGCTAACCTTTTCACCCTGTCCTGCATATTGACCTGCCTGTAAACAGAAGCCTCTTCAAAAGCAGAAGAGGTCTTCAGCCGGTCTTTCCTCACTTCACCAGCCACCAGTTAAGAGAGTCACATTTCATTATCCTCGGTACAAAGCTGTCCAAGTCACTCGGTTTCCTCCCTCTCCCTTAAATCGCCTGTGACATCTTCAAGGCACAAAGCACCAGAAAAGTTGGGGGGGGGGGGGAAGCGAGGGAGAGAGAGAGGAAGGGGTCCCAACTAAAGAAGAGTTCCTATCCCAGGTGTGCAACTCAACGTGTTCCTGCAAACCGCAACACAGCTTTGGAAAACAACAAGTTGAGGCAGGTAGGCTGTTTGTTAGGTAGGTCCTTCCTGCCAAAGGAGCCTTGCATACCAGTTCGCACTTGGAATTAAAACAAGAAACCTGGCCAAAACAACTTACTCTCCCACACCTTTTCCTTTTAGGAAAAAAAACTTGTTGGTTTTCATCTGAAGTGGTAAGTTTGTGTATAGACACGCTATCAGCATGAGCTGCAATCCAAGCATTGAGGTCAGTCCTTTACAGGCAGGCAGAGAGGATAGATAGAAAGTTAGATAGATAGGTAGATAGACAGATGTGTGCATCTTTGTGTATTTTCCCTGAAACATCTGAAAGTGACGAACTCTACTAACCCACTAAGAAAATCCAACAAATGCTACCTTCAGCAAAGGACAAGAGGGATCCTCTCACCTTTGCAGGAGTCTACCATATACCATGCAGCTATGGACATGTCTACATAGGGACCACCAAACTCAGCATTGCCCAAACAGGAATCAAGGAACATGAAAGGCTTAGCAAACTAATTCAACCCGAGAAGTCAGTCATAGCTGTGGTCCCAGTGCTGCAATGGGTCAGCGGTTAGAATCCAGGAGAGCTGGCTGAGCTTCTCCTGTCAGCTCCAGCTCTCCATGCAGAGAAGCCTCCCACAAGGATGGTAAAACATCAAAACATCCGGAAGTCTCCTGGGCAACAAGGACAGCCAACTCTCTCACACCAGAAGCTGAGCCTGACACACACACACAAGCCATAGCAGATGACCTGATGAACCCACCTGAACAAAGCATATTATTTGAGAACACAAAAATGCTGGACCACTCTAACAACCACCATATCACACTATACAGAGAAGCCATTGAAATCCACAAGCAAGTGGACAATTTCAACAGAAAGGAGGAAACCATGAAAATGAACAAAATCTGGCTACCAATTTTTTTTAAAAAAAACCTTCAAAAATCAGGACCGTAAATAAAGAGCAACACTAAAAAAACAGGGGAATTTCAGATTGGAAACAATCAGGGCCAGCTAACACCTTCTAACAAAGGACCCCGGTAGCAACCAGCCAGGCTTTGAAGCTACGAGGCCATTCAATGCCAATCAAGATGGCCAATTGCAACATTATAACACTTGCCTCAAACAGACAAGAGTTCATTCTCCCACTCCGGACATTCCACAGATATATAAACCCCACTTGTCTAGTTTCCAACAGACGTCACAATCTCTGAGGATGCCTGCCATAGATGCAGGCGAAATGTCAGGAGAGAATGCTTCTGGAAAATGGCCATACAGCCTGGAAAATTCACAGCAACCCTATTGGTATATAGACACACTCTTGGAATGAGATACAATTCAGGCATTGAGGCTTCCCCCTATGGATAGATACACGGATAGATATATAGGTGTTTTCTTGTGTATTTTTCCTGAAACATCTGCAAGTGGCTTCCTCCGCTTTTGGCATGAATTACGATTTAAGCATTGAGGCAGATCCTCTGCATTTCACCTCCTCCATAGGTAGGTAGATAGATAAAGAGATCTAAATATGTGTCTGCCTGTGTATTTTCCCTGGCAGCTCTCCAAGCGACGTTTATAACTTCTACCTGCAATCCAAGCATTGGGGCCGATCCTCACCTCCCACGTGGATGGATAGATGAACGGATAGGCAGATTGAGAGAGAGAGATAAATGCGTGGCTTTGTATTTTCCCTGTAACATCTTCAAGTGACATTTATAGCCTCTACCTATCTTGGCATGAGGTGCAATCCAAGCAGAGAGGCTTACACTTCCACCTTCCCCATGGATAGATAGATAGATATGTTTGTGCCTGCATAGTTTCTCTGGAACATCTGCAAGGGACATTTACAACCTCTGCCTTTGCAGTGGAAGCTGCAAAGAAACTTGGCAGGGAGAGAGAGAGGGCCGGGCTGGGTTTTCTCTGCGAAGTGTCAAAGCAGCCCAGCCTTGATCCGGAGGCGCATCGGGCATATCAAGGGGGTGAGGCCATCCCAAAGCGGGCTCCCCCGACGACTCTCCTTACCACTTCAAAGCAAGGGAGCCAGCTCTCCTTTCACTGCCCTCCGCTTGCCTTAGACCCCCCTTTTTACCTTTTGTTGCTCCGGGCAAGACCTCAAAGGCGAACAGATGGCCCTCGGCCAAGGAGAGCCTGTTTCGTGGGAACGCAGTGGGCATCTGCATGCCAATGGGGCCGAGAGGGAAGGAGAGCTTGGGCTGGGCAAAGAGGCAAAACATGCGCCTTTGCAGCACTTTTGAGACTTACAAAGCGCCCTTCCACACAGCCATATAACCCAGAATATTGAGGCAGATAATCCACAATAGCTGCTTTGAACTAAGGGCCCTTCCACACAGCCCTATATCCCAGAATACCAAGACAGGAAATCCGACATTATTTGAGTGTGGACTCAGATAACAAAGCTGAATAAAATCCCACATTTTCTGCTTTAAACTAGAATATATGGCAGTGTGGATTCAGATAACCCAGTTCAAAGCAGATATTGTGGGATTTTCTGCCTTGATTGTTGTTGTTCATTGTCTCGGACTCTTCGTGACCTCATGGACCAGCCCACGCCAGAGCTCCCTGTCACCATCCCCAGCTCCTTCAAGATCAGTCCAGTCACTTCAAGGATGCCATCCATCCATCTTGCCCTTGGTCGGCCCCTCTTCCTTTTACCTTCCACTTTCCCCAGCATAATTGTCTTCTCTAGGCTTTGCTGTCTCCTCATGATTTTCTGCCTTGACATTATGGGTTATATGGCTGTGTGGAAGGGCCCTCGGTTATCTGAGGGCCCTTCCACACAGCCCTATATCCCAGAACTGGGAAGCACTGACCCTTGAGCGCTCCAGCTGGAGGTCAGCCGTGACCAGCAGTGCTGTAGAATTTGAAGAGGCAGGAATTGAGGGCGAAAGAACGTGCCAAGAGGAAGGCGAATCAAGCCAACTTCAACCGGGACGCTTCCAGCTTCCACGGGAGAAAATGCACCACTGTTACCTACCCATCGCCAATACACTTATCCTGGAAGACTATCCTCCTCGGACAATGAGGCGAGGGATCGCCTAAGTCATATCCCAGAATATCAAGGCAGAAAATCCCACAATATCTACTTTGAACTGGGTTATCTGAGTCTACACTCGGTTAATGTAAGATTTTCTGTCTTGATATTCGGGGATATAGGGTTGTGTGGAAGGGCCCCCAGTTCAAAGCAGATATTGTGGGATTTTCTGCCTTGATATTCTGGGGGGCCCTTCCACACAGCCCTATATCCCAGAATATCAAGGCAGAAAATCCCACAATATCTGCTTTGAACTGGGTTATCTGAGTCCACATTCAGATAATGTGGGATTTTCTGCCTTGATATTCTGGGATATAGGGCTGTGTGGAAAGACCCTGAGTCCACACTGCCATATAACCCAGTTCAGAGCAGATAATATGGGATATTATACAGCTGTGTGGAAGGGGCCTGAGAGAAAGAAATCCCTGGCATGAGCTTTCGCAGACTTCTTTAGTCATGAGGAAGGAGACTCAAGTCTATCAAAGCTTTTTCTACGGAACTTCTTTTTATCTGCAAGGGGAATCTAGAGAATTGTAGAATTAATGCGATGACTCAATGCTAAGGAGCAATGAGAGGGTTGTTTGGGTTGTTGTAGGTTTTTTCGGGCTATATGGCCATGTTCTATAGGCATTCTCTCCTGACGTTTCGTCTGCATATATGGCAAGCATCCTCAGAGGTAGTGAGATCTAGTTTTTAGAGGGTAGTTTTTCCAACTCCTGAGCCTTCTCTGCCAAAGAGGGCTGGTGTCTCACCAAACTACAAATCGCAGCATTCCATAGGATTGAGTCATGACAGTGAAAGTGGTGTCAAACTGCATTCATTCTTAGTCTCTAAAGTGGCATAAAATATATATATCTCC